CATTATTTTCTAATTCTTCTGCTTTTCATTAATTTCTTTTCTTCTTGTTTTCTATCCCTGTGACTTGGTCTTCATAGGATTTATACCCTCTTCAGATAATTACATATAAAATTAAAATTGGCAGATGAAAAGCTAGGGCTTAATTAACCTAAGCTGGGGGGAGGGGAGTCTGTGTTTGAAAGCACAGTGAGGAAACAACCCACTAAATCTGAATTCAGTAGAATACATTTAGATGATGCGATCACTGAGCTGAAATACAATCATGACCTCACCATGTGACTTCCTTAACCTCCATCGTCGCATATTTAAAGTCAACTGATAGTTTAGTCTCATATTCCTCACCATCTACCATCTAACCTAAAGCTTAGAGCATTAGCCATACCAGACTCCCTGTAACAATAAACACCAGGCCTTCCTTCCTCCCTAGTCTGTGTCCACCACCAGAGTGCTTGGCTCACCAGAAACTGAAAAGCATTCGCTTCTCAACATAAAGATAATTCACTGCAAAGTGTCAATCAGCAAAAACACTATATAAATATAATTCCAAATTCACCAGTGGTCAAACTCAATAGCAATGATTTTCTGAGCAGAAGGAAAAGCAAAGTTTGTAAAAAAGAAAGAAAGAAACCCATGCTATTTTACTCATTTGTAAAATGAGTAAATGCTGGTTTTTTTAATGAGCAAATACTTCTTAACAAGATCTGTGAGGTAGTAGAAAAATAGGAAGTAAAATTATTTTCTCGAGAACCATGGGCTAGGAACTGTACTAGTAAGTAGAAATGTCTTAACTAGTTCTTTTTCTATCAGTACTGCCTCTGCTTTTTGCTGAATAACTCAGCAAAAACTCACCTGAAAAACTCAGTATTTGTAGGCCATGTGGAGAGGCTCCCCCGATCAGAATAACAGGTAAGTGATTGCATTTCTTACCCACAGATAAGAAGGTACTCTTTATTTATAAGAACAGTGTGATTAAAATTTGCATAAATGATTCTCAAACTTCTTAAGTGAGGTGTGTGTTACACCTTTCAGATACCCACATATTAATCAATCCTGGTGGGACACAATCTGAAGAACGAGGTGATCAGACGCCTGTTTTTTGAAGGCAAGCAGCTCCACATGGTTCTAAGACACATTGTCTCTAATACATTTCAAAATAAGAACCCCCACATCCCACTATTTTAGAACTTTCTTTTTGTGTGATTTTGAGTAAGCACTTTAGACTCTGTAAAACTCAATTTCCTTATCTATGAATTTAATACAAGTGCCTAATTTATAAGCTAATTGTGGAAAGCACTTTGGATAATGACATGGATCATCAAGCAAAATACTTTGCCCAATATTTAATAAATGTATTTTCCCTTTAACGTTTTGTGCACTAGTACCCAAAGATACTTGAACGAATAAGTATTGTCATTTAGTCTATCAGTAAACAAGCAGAGTTGGGTTGCTAAAGAAGCATAAGAAAAAATATCTCAATTCTGATGGCCATTTTAAATGACTAACGAACTTGGTTTTGGGAGAGTAATATTATCACTTCCTGCTTTTTCATGGTACATTAGTAAAATTGACTCAAAATTCATAGTCAGTGGGTCAATTCCACTTATGACCCTGTAAATCAGAACAGAACTATGCCCTACGTCTACCAAGACTGAATTCTGTATTTAAAGGGACCACCACATCGTTCTCCTATGGAGTAGCTGGTGGGTTCAAACTGCTAAGCTTTGGATTAGCAGTCACGTACGTAGTGACTGCACCGCCAGGGCTGCTTAGGGAAACCAAATAGGAACTAGACATTTGGAAAATTCTCAAAAACTCTGCCATATTTCTGTACTTCAATGTTTCATCCCACCAAAACAGAAAACACAGAGAAACATATCTTTATACATCATTTATGGCACAAAGAAGTTTGGAAGGGTCACCTTAGTGCCCAGTCAACACTCAATTGAAAAGAAAAACCACAAAATGAAAATTCATGCCGGAAAAGACCCGTTTTTCCTAGTATTCATCGCTGAGACAACTTCTTCATGAAACCAGAATCAGAAATTAACAGCACAGGTGGGAGAATCAGACTACCTAATTTCAGATATTAATTCTGCCACCTACTAGCACATAATTGACTTATTTGTATCTCTGAGCTACACTACACTAATAATAGTACGTACATATGCCACAAAGCTGCCAAAAATTAAAATACAGCATTAAACATTGCTGTAAACTATGTGTACTGTAATAAGACATACATACTAAATAGTATGATTAGCATTTTCAACTTTTTATTAGGAAAATCCAATTGTTCACCCAGAAATGTGGCAGAGTATGCATCCCTGGACAGGATCCCTGGTGGTGCCAAGGTTACACGTTGGCCTGCAACCCTCATGGTCTACCCTGTTTCCCCCAAAATAAGACAGTGTCTTATATAAATTTTTGCTCCCAAAGATGCGCTAGGTCTTATTTTCAGGGGATGTCTTATTTTTCCACACAGAAGAATACAGTACACATTTATGGTTTATTGTTTTATTAAAAGAGACCTCGCACTTCCTGTCTGTTCCAGCTGCACTGCGGTCAACAGTGAGCTGCACAACGGCGCCCACTGCTATGGTCAAGAGTCCAGAGTTACAGTAGCTTTGGGGGGGCCTTATTTTCAGGGGATGTCTTACTTTCAGGGAAACAGGGTGTCTACGCTTCAAGTCCACCAGTACTCCGTGGGACACAAACTGGGTTTCCCACTCCCAAAAACAGTTATGCTCTTGCGAACCCAGAGGGAGTCACTATGAGTCATCAGTGACTCGATGGCAGTGATTTTTTATGCATTACTGGGAAAACCTAATGATTCCTGGCCTGATTTTTGATGCTGATAAAATTCAAGAACAACTGGAAACTAACCACGTAGAGAACTTCCGTCCTCAGGTTCCTGGCATGAATATAAGTAGACGGTGGACATGCATATGATCACCGCCTCATTTACTTCTACAGAGAAAGGAGTCCATTTTAAAGGGCATATGTTGTTCAAGGAGAAGGCCTAGGGGGTATAGTGGCTTATGAGTTGGGCTGCTAACCGCAAGATCAGCAGTTCAAAACACCAGCTCATCCTCCAGAGAAAAACGAGGCTATCTACTTCTACAGAGATTTTCAGTCTTGAAAAGTCACAAGGACACTTCTACCCTGTCCTATCGGGCTCTGTGAGATAAAAGCAACTCAATGGCAGTGAGATTTTGTTTGTTTGTCTTGTTTTGTTTTGTTTTTAGGGTGTTAAAAACAAATCCTGGTAGTGCAATTGTCAAGCACCAATGGACCCTCTAGTCAACCCATGGGAGAAAAAGATTATGGTTTAGCAATCCCAATCCAACAATTCTACTCTACTGCATTCATTGCTATGATTCAAAAGTGACTAAATAGCACATTAAAAACAACGGAGCTAAGGTTCATTACTTTTTAGATAAGAATCTCAGGAAATACTGCAGAATATGCTGCATATGCCCCACATGTCCTTCCAGAGCGTCTCGTGTCCACCCTGTGTCTTAGGAGGCTCCATTCAAATAAAAAGCATTACTTGGGTATCCTTGATCACACAGGCTAATGTGCTTCTTTAATGTGGACTTAATTGATGCCTGTATTAGTCTGGGTACTTTCGAGAAACAACTCTACAGCAACTCATGTATAAGAGAGAGTTTATATGAATGTTAAGTGCACATCAAGAAAACATCCCAACCCAGGGCTGCCCAAGCCCACAAGTCCAACATTAACCATTAACCCATATGTCCAACACCAATCCACAAAGTCCTCCTCCATCTCACAAAACAGACACAATGATACCAACTGCAGGAGGAAAGCTGAGTCAGTGAATGTCTAAACATCTCAGCACTGGCAGGGGTCTCCACACGGGTGCTCCAGCACCCAGGGCTGCATCGCATTAGATACATGTGGCTTCTCCTTGAAGATGTCTTGCAGGAAGTCAGCCTCACAAGCTGAAGCAGGGGACTGCTAAGGCAGCTGGACCCTGGTCCAACCATCACAAAGCAAGAGACCCAAGAACTAGAAAGGCAGGGCTCACCAAGCCATTTATCCCTCTGCCCTTCAATTAACCCCACATGTGTTTATCAGCCAGGGTGGCACAATAAACTAACTAACTCAATGCCTAACTTAGCTGGCTGCCTGTTTGAATAAAAGACCCCAGACACTATTCCAGCTGATAGCCAGGCACCACCTGTTTTCATCCCCACACATTGAGGTAAGCCCTCTTCTGTTCAGTGAACTCTTCATGAAGGCAAGTATGGAGCAGGGCCATGTTATAAGCACTAACTATTCTGGGATTGGGGCTAGAATGATGTAGGAGCTCAGAATCCATCTGCTTGTCCAACGGGTTATGCACAACTCTGATTTACTTTAGCAGTAATTTCAGGATGAGAACAAAAACCAACAAGAACAACAGCAACCAAAAAAGCTCTAAAAATGAACAACACACCCCCCCCCCCCCGCCGCCCCGATAAAAAAAGAAAAACTGTTAATCATCTCCCATTGAAACAATTGCAGTGATAACATCAGTAATTTATCCAATGGCATAGAATTTAAGGTACTGTTTATATGAGGAATTTATGCATACATAATCCAAAGGTGAGCAGAAATCCATGAGTTATTGCTTTGTACTGATTGATTTCTTTATTGAGCTCTGTTTACATTGCACCCAGGGGTTGGAGCTAAGGAATGTTCTTTTAATCTTATTTTTAATCTCGTGCTGTCGCCTTCAACATCTGCTACATTTTGAAACCCAGAGCAATGGTGTAGTCTAGCACTGGTCACTTTGAGGTCAGTTTCTTTCTCATTTCCTCTTTTATTAAGGTATGTTCCCACCTAAAATTCATAAACTTCCACTTTCTGGATGAAGATTCATCTGTTCTACTCCATAAGCCCAAACATATTTAACACTCTGCGTGAAAAACTACCCAATTTCAGTTCTTCCAACAGTGACTCCTGAGCAGAAGAAGCGTCTACGCCTTACTTATTAAACTGTTTCAAATATGCAGGTGGAAGAAGTGTACACGTCTCTGCAGTGGGATAGTTCACCACCAAACCACTATGAAAAACCTCTGTTTTCCAACAAATGTGCAGGTAAGCACGTCGGTGTACTCCAGGACAATAAGTTTTGTTTTTGTTGTGTTGTTTCTGATAAGATTTTTTTCTAATAGGAGACAATACATTTTATAGGATTGTAATGTACCTGATATTCTGTCATATAAAAAATGAAATAGAAGAGGATTAAATAACAATGAAAGGGGAAGAGCAATAGACTTCAAAATATTTGTATAATGTTTTATTTCATTCTATGTTTTATTCTGGAAAGGACAAATAATACATGGGATTAGAAGATAAGAGAAAGAAATCATATAATTTTCTTATTGTACCCTCTGCCCCAAATGTTCCAGGGATGTGTGGTAAACTAAACACTAATCTTGAATTGTCTACTGTAAGTGATAAATGCATTCTTAACATTTACTATATGCATCAGTTTTATGTTACTGCTGCAACAAATGACCACAAATTTAGAAGCCTCAAAACAAAGCACAGATTGATTTTCTTAATGCTTCTGGAGGTCAAAATTCCTAACACAGGGTTTCTTGGGGCTGTAGCCAACATGTCAGTCAGGCTGTGCACCCTGGAGCAGCTGCGGTGCAGCTTCTGTGGCTGAGTTTATTGATTGTCTTGGTGCACGTCCTCTTTCACCTTCATGGCCAGCAGTGAGGGGCTAGCATCCTCAGATCTCCCTCACCTCACCTCACCTCACCTCAGTCCCTCTGAGCTCCTGTCTACTTCTTATAAGATGCCAGCAACTCCACGGTACTTTCCTCCTCCCGAGTACTTTCACTTAAACACACCTATAAATCACAGTGTGCCACATAAATTCACATTTACTCTTTTCAAGAAGGGAGACATGGATATCTTAGGGTCTGTCACTCAGCTTACTACAATGTCCAAAGATAACCTTGTTACGTTTTGCTCAGATTAGTATTAAGTACAGAAAGGAATTGGAAACACAGGGAATCCAGGACAGATGAACCCCTCAGGACCAGTTGTGAGAGTGGCCATACCGGGAGGATGGAGTGAAGGTGGGGCAGAAAGGGGGCACCGATTACAACAGTCTACATATAACCTCTTCCCTGGGGTACGGACAAGAGAAAAGTGGGTGAAGGGAGACGTCGGGCAGTGTAAGATATGACAAAATAATAATTTATAAATTATCAAGGGTTCGTGAAGGAGGGGGGAGTGGGGAGGGAGGGGGAAAATGAGGAGCTGATGCCAGGGGCTCAAGTAAAAAGCAAATGTCTGAGAATGATGAGGGAAACAAATGACACAATGGATGGATGTGCGAATTGTGATAAGAGTTGTACAAGCCCCTAATAAAATGATTTTTAAAGGATAAAATTAATTCTTAATTCTTCCTTGTGAATAGTTGCAAAATTAACTGGGAAATTTTAAAAATTCCTCATCCAAAGTGGATATTTAGAAGAAAATATCTTTGAACTGGTTGATTGAAATTACACTAAAAAGAGATTGGACAGTGTAAGATATGGCAAGATAATAATTATTTATCAATTATCAAGGGTTCATGAAGGAGGGGAGTGCAGGAAGGGAGGGGAAAATGAGGAGCTGATACCAAGGGCTCAAGCAGAAAGCAAATGTTTTGAAAATGATGAGGGAAACAAATGTATAAAAGTGCTTGACACAATGGATGGAAGTATGGATTGTGATAAGAGCTGTATGAGCCCCCGATAAAATGATTTTAAAAAGAGAGAGAGAGAGAGATAGGGAGATAGACAGTTTTTTTGCCCTCAAAATCTAAAGTTTGTGATAATCCCTAAAAGACTTGGAAAATAGTGTATGTACTTAATTAGGTTCAGTTAGTGAGGTTGTGGTGTCGTACATAAAGATAAAAGAACTTTATTATTAACTTTGCTCAATTTAGCAGTTTTTTCAATGTATTCCAAGATAATATTTGTATCTTAAAGAGTTTGAATAAAACTATACTAGTTACACATTCCAGGCCTCATAATTCTCCAGTTAGGATTACTCAAGACTACCTGTTTTCTTTGAATCCCCTGTCTTCTTCCGTCTTTTCTCAAGTTAATCATTTCTGTGGCATGTTTAGGGATGTGGCGTGTCATGGTGATGGTTTCATGTATTTTATGCCTGGGCTCATTAGCAGCTTCCTTCTACTTGGGCATCAAGTGTAAGTACAAAAGGAGATTTTAAAAATAATTAATATGCAAATTATATTATGCACAGCTGTGTATATAATGATTTATATGTATATCATTAGCTATGAACTTGTATAATTTTTAAATGATGACAAAATCCAGTAAGAAATAGCAGAATGTATATAAATGATGCAAAATTATGACTTCTTAATTTAACTCATATAACTGTTATTAAATATAATTATCTGAGCATTTAGATGTAACTCATAATGTTCAATGTTCAATTGCATTAAATCTAAAATTAAATTAAATCTAATGTCATGTCTCCTTGGGAAATAATGCAAGTAATTATCTATAATGCAATTCAGTTTATGGGCCATGTTAGCATGAGAAAACATGGAATTTGAAAAAAATTCACAATGCATTCCTTAATTTCTAATGTATATTTATGCCAAGCTTTCCCTTATGCACATTATTTGATAAAAGTGCTTCACTCTATAATAGGTAAGGTGCAATTTTAAGATGTTTAATGGTAACCTCAAAGTTTGTTTCATTTTGATTATATGTAATCAAATTACTTTACTCCCTTAAATCGAAATTGGAGAAATGTTTCCATATCAGGCAAATAAACTTTTGACATCAAAAATATTATACAGCTCAAGAAAAATGACAAGAACCTCTAGTGTCCCTCATGCTAGCACTAAGAAATGTGATTAAAAAGGAATGCAAGTCACTGTATGCATGGCACTATTTACCAAATGTATGCCTTCGCATGTGAGACAAGGTCTCACCACCCTTCCTTCTCCAGATTGTGCTGTAGTTCAGCATACCATAACCTAGCGCAAATGTGATCACGACTATCTTCCATCTCCTTATTAAGATATTTAATCAAATACTAGAGCTTTTCCTTTCCTCTCTTTGTGTTTTAAAGCAACTCCTGCCTTAAATATGTAATTCCCAAATAAACATGCAGTTGACAAATTTGCATAGTTGAAAGAGAACTAACGGAGAAGTCATTGAACCTCAGCAGTCCAATTTCTTCTGTAAAATGTAGGGAATTTTAATGAAGTGGTGTCAATTTCCATTTTAATTTTCTAATTTAAGAATGCATATTTAACTAAGAAAGCTAGCTATCAAAAATATTATTTAAATTTGAACTCTACATAACAGGATTCAGTCTTCTTTTACTCGTGTTAACTACTTAGGAAAGAAGACAAAATAAATAATAATAAATAAATAAAAACCAATATGGAATGCTTAAGGCATTAAATAAACTCTGAATCAATTTTAAGAGGCAGATTTCTTATTTGGGGTGATGCCACTGATCACCAATCTCTTCATAAAATAACCCAATAATGGTTTGGAGAGTAACAGAGAAATTACAGGTTGTCCTCAATTTATGACAGAGCCCCTATCTGATGGCAACATTGCTTAAATCAATTCTGATTAAGTTGAATACCTCTAATTGTTATTTTTTATGATTAGTGCATTGTATTATCAATATCTCTCTAAACCTAATCTTGTCTTTGGGTTTGGAAACATTGCGTATAAATATTTAGGTATATTCTAATAGATACATATGGAGGAAATGGCATGGGCTCACATCTGACCTCCCTGGCTATTTTCCCTGGGAATAGATTCCAATGACCCAAGAATGCCAATTGCCCTAAGGCATAAATCAGACATGGCCCTACCCTCCACCTTCTTTACCCTGTTCTGACACCAACCATTCCTCCCATGGCATTCCACGATTCAAGTGGGCTCAATAACCGATGGCAATGCCCCACAGAGCACAAAAGCAGAATTAATGATAATGAGGGTTCATTAAGGCAAAAAACAGATTACAAAACTGTAAGGATATTGTTCTTTTGTCTGCAGTCCACTTACCAGCCATGCTGGCAGGCGGCTCTTTGTCTGATCCTCAGAATCTCAGCCACCAGGCTCCCTGGCCTCTGTCATACTCTATGAGCACCCACTGCTTCACGGTCTCAGTGAGGCTACTCTGTTCTGGCACATGATTTCAGTGCTGCTATGACTACAGCCTCAATCACTTCAAACATGAATGTCCAACGTGCTCCCCTGGTGGCTCTTCTTTCCCAATGGCCACAGAATCCCTCTGCCTACTCCTGCGAAGACTTACTTGCATTCTCAGTAGAATGGCAAATCTGACCAGTCCCCAACTTAGAGTCTTATTACCTTATTCACATCCTCCCACTCATTTATTGGATGGGATGGGAGTTACAAAAATTATGGATATAAAAGTCATAGTAAGGGATTTAATTTCACCATACATACATACATTTAAAAAATACACAAATCATGAAAACTTACTTTAACAATGAAGAAAAATTGGGACGTCTTTGGGGTTTTGTCAGCTGCAATAATACCTCCACGTGTGGAAGGTGTGGATCATCTGAGCTATCACCAAGAAGGACAAGGTTTCTACACCAAAAACTAGTGAGAATCATCTGTACGGTCCTTTCCCTTTTTTACTTCCTATAGTTCATTATTATGCTCACTCATGTCCCAATCTGTCAAGGTTGTTGTTGTTGTTGTTGCTGCTGCTGCCGGGTGCTTTGGGTCGGTTGCAATTTCTGCAGACCCATGTGCAAGGGTACGAAACACTGCCCTGTCTGGTATCAACTCACAATTGTTGTTAAGCTTCCGCCCATCGTTGGAGCTACTGTGTCAACCTATCTTCTTGTGGATCTTCTTCTATTTTGTTGACCCCCACCTTACCAAGCATGATGTTCTTCTGTCCAAATTACACTTTGAGATCAAATTAAAGGTGCAAAACTGTGTGAACAGATTGTGATCATCAATGTAAAGGAGAGGAAGGTATTTTGTTTCATTTGCTTCTAAAATTCAAAATATCTCTGGAATCATAGTACATAAAATTAACGAAGTTAGCTGGGTTTGGGGAGGGCGGGGACTGGGCAAATAAAGAATCAGAGATGACAAGTAGGTGATTTTTTAAATTTGATTTTGTTTTTTTTCTTTATAGTCTTTGTGGCTTTTGCTTTGGCCATGTGAATTTTCAGCAGAAAAATCTAAAATAATGCACACTCAAGTCACACACACACAATGTTACTTGTAATTTGTTACAATATGTCAGTATTATAGTTGAAACGACTGTCATTGTTGGAAGTGTTTCAGATTTCCACAATTGCAGCAAAACAGCAAGAAAACCTCATCCAACAGGAGAGAGAACTGTTAAACTTCACACAGTGGAAGAGAAAGCAGGACCGTCTGATGAAATGTTGCCAAACCTTGATGGGAAACTCTGTCAGTTCAGGTAATTGATAGAGAATTCTTCTTATCTGTACCAGTGGATGTACTCCGGCCCAGCCAGATTTGTAAGGTAGAAATGAGTCATGGTAGTGGAGTGGAGGGATGGGTGGGGGGAAGCATTCAGGGACTAGAAGAATGATGTGCTTCATTGGTGCTTTACTACTCCCTGATTGAATTGATTAATATATATACATATACTTTTTTAAAAAGGAAAATTATTTTTCACAGCAGAGCTAAATGTATGGACAACTTCTTCACAAGAATCCATGACACGCACATTTAATTTTTTGTAAAGTTATTGTTTGAGTTTGATAGCAGGAAATACATGACTTTGGGGCACTCTCCACTTCTACTTGATGCATATCTCCTCCTGAACTAATGTTACCAAAAGTGCAGAAGAGGACAATTTACCAACACAGGTGCTGCTAAGTGCTGACTTGGAATCCACGTGACTAGTAGGGCAGAAGGTTTGTAAAAGCAGCATTCGGTTCTCATCCAATCGCACAAGTCTATAAGTGTATCCTTAGTTCTGCTCCCAATTCCCCCAAATATCTACTTTCTATATTGCTGCAGATTCAAGTTTGGATAACTTTTTGAGGAGAAAATTTAGTTTTGAAATTAAAGTTTATACTATGAAATTGTTATAATGCAAGATTATATAAAGTCATTTCCGTTTTATCTTTTAAACCTCTTATAACCATTGTGTAGTCTATATTTGCCTGTTGTATTATTTAATAAATATGCTATGGTTACTTAATTAGAAATTAATTGCTGATGGGCTAGGTGTACCATTTAAGTAATCTTCAATGAGGGATTCAAAGAAAAAGGTTGGAGCCATCAGATGAAAAGAGATGAGACATAGAAAGAAGCAAGTAGAGGCTGCAAAGCACATAAACTAGAAAAGAAAAAAAAGAAGGGTTTTATGAAGCCCACTCAATCAAATGAACTTTTATTGAAAATGAAAGCTCTGAGCTAAGCTTCTAAAGCTAATTTTATCTTGAACTAATTCTAGAGACCTTTGGCAATTGGAAATGATTATGTAAGTTTTACTCTATTCAATTTCAGAGAAAGTGGAATTGTTGAATGCTGTATCACGTAGAGCATTGGATTGGAGTATGTAGCTTCACTGAGAACGATGCAAGGATTCATTTTTAGGGGCCATGTTTGTGTTATTTTTATACTGGTAAAAGTAAAGTCAAATGTTGCCATTTCTATTCAAAGCCCATAACTGCAGCCCTTGTCCAGACAACTGGATCCAGAATGGGGAACGCTGCTACTATTTCTCCCGACAATGGCAGGTTTGGCGCCGGAGTAAAGAGCTTTGTTTCAAAGAGGACGCCAAGCTTCTACAAATAGACAACAAAGAAGAAATGGTAAACAGTCTTTTCAGGGCCTCCTGTCATTCAGAAAATGCCAAGCTAAACGGTGATCTTACGCACTAATTCTTACAAGAGAACATACCTTATTACTATTCTATCCTCAATAAACTCACTGCCCCTGCGGGTTTCTGAGACTGTAACTCTCTAGGGGCATAGAAGTCCCAGCCTTCCTCCTGTGGAGCTGCTGGTGGTTTTTAACTGCTGACCATGCAGATCACAGACCAATGTGTAAGCACTTCACCAGCAGGGCCCCATTAATATTCTACAACAGTAGTGTATTTGTTAGAGGTTTAGATGAGATGAGATATAATGCGATTTTCTCTTATTAGAGGAATTGTAAAACAAACAAAAATAAGAGAGTTATCAGAAACAAGAAGATTATATTATTTACTTGTCTATTGTTCATAAAACCGAAGGGATGGGAGAGGGAGGTCACTATAAAAGAATATCATCTCAGGCCATAATAATATACTCAAACTATATATACATTATAGTGTTAAATGTGTTTTAAATTTATTCCATTCAATGCTGCAGGGAAGTATAATATCCTGCAATAATCTTGTAATAATGAAGGAAAAACAGAGACATAAAAAGTGAGATGAATCATGAAACAGATAGTTCTATAAAAATGAGCATTTGCCAAGACAGTGTTTAACATTACTTATTTACTAACAAGCAAACAATAAGCTGTTTCTTAGAAATTATTCTTTGACTTCAACATATATGTGAGATAGATTCACAATGATACATTTATGACTTTATTATAAATGTATGAATATTATATTCAAGAACTGGTTGAAATTCATTTCTATGAATAGAAAGAGGGGCAGTTAAGAGATAGACAGCAAACCAAGACAACCTGAAATAATTTCTTATAATTATGGGTTTTAAAACACTTTTGAAAATCTGTGCTTATAGGCAAGTCACTTCTGCCATCTTCTAAATTATTTCCTGGGTTGAAATGTAGTGGAAATGAATAGCCCATATGCTTCTACGGCGACCAAGACAGTCTTACTTCCTTTAATAATGCGAATCTTGTACAGCATTTGCCTTTAATGATATTATATCTCTGCTGTACTCTCAATCTCTTAAGAGTATTTTAATGCCAGCTCCCTATTTTTGCACAAGCACATCAACATATTCATATAGCAACAAAAAGAGTCTAAAATGAATGTCCTCCCTGCCCCTTTTAAAGCCTTCTCCTCCTCTTCCTCTAGCTTCATGATTCCCTCATTTCTGGCCAAAATGCCACACTTTTATATCAGAGTAGTTTACTTCTTGCTTTCTTTCCCTTCAATTCATAGCGCAAGTCTTGTTTCTTCCAGGATTTTATCACCAGCATCTTGAAGAACAAAAACGGTGACCAGTACTGGGTGGGATTGTCTCAGGAGAAACGCAGTGGACTTTGGTTTTGGCAAGATGGCTCGTCTCCTCCCCCTGCCCTGTATGTCTCTAAAATAAATATCACAGGAAAATGTAGAAATATTAGGGAATATAAAGGTTTATTATATTTTATATGTTAGATTTCCTCCAAGAGACTTAACCAACATGGCCATGTCACAGACTCTTAGTTGTGTTCAAAGCCAACATGGTGAAAAGCTTCTACTTGCTAAATCTTGTTCCTTCTCAGCTCTCCTTCCATTATTCTCTAGAAATGTCCTGCAAAATGTTAGCGTCTTACTGAACAATTTCAAATAGTGTGCTTACCAAGTATGTGTTCTTTATATCATGGAACAACTAATGGGGTGCTAAGGAAAAGAGCTTGTGGTAACCATTAAGCAATTTCCACACCAAACTTTTCAAATAGAATTGGAGAAATGGATGAGGAGAATCAGGTATCATGCATTTTGGGAATTAAAAGTCAGGAAAGAAACTCTGATTTTGATCCTCTATTTGTAGAGTCAGTGTTATGTGCTCATGTTGACATTATATGAATATATTGTCTATTGAGAGAAAACGTTCTGTTTTTGAAGAAGAAAGCTAAAAGGACTACAAAGGGGTCCAGCAATAAAACAAGCCCCGAATGTCATGCCTCTCAATTTACCACAAGAACATCAAAGTCACCCCCCTAAGTAACCTTAAATCTAATACCACTTGTATTTACAGGTGGTCAATTCAGAAACTCCAATCAGTTAACCAGGGTTGTGGATACCTCAAGGACAAAGCCTTGTTTAATGCTGACTGCAGCAACTGGAAATATTTTATCTGTGAGATGTAAACTTTGTGATCCACTGTCTGAAAATCATTGTGTTCAAAGCACTCGCTCACACTCATCTGAAAAGGCATTAGAGTCCTGCCACCAAATGCCAAAGAGCGAGTGGGGAAGGAAACCAATGTGTGGACGATGAAATCTGACTCTGTTGCATTTACCCTTGGAATTAAAAAAACATATACTCCAGCCCAGTCAAGTTTGACATGACTTAACTTTCCAAGAATAAAATTGACTTAGAGTTAAAGGGAACAAAACCCTGAAGAGCTAAGAACAAACGGAAGGAAAATGATTTCCATTTGCTTATGTTTTTTTTCCGTTTTTTGTTTTTCCAATAGTCACTGTTATCATGACAGGAATCTGCAAATCACTGCAGAAACGGTACAGTTCTGACAAGTATTTCAAAATGAATAAATAAAAAGAGGCTTTCAAACTCATTCTCCAGCAGATCGTTCTTTGAGTTTTCTAAGTTTCCAGTGTGTTCATTAGGCTGGAGGACCGAGACAGATTTTAAACTGTAAGGAGGGCAGGCTTGCACTTGCGGCCTGTCAGAAGGTAGCTTTCTGAGGATTGCAAAATTTTACCAGAGAAGTGAACTCTAGTGAAAAAAAGGTTACCAGTATCCACTGATCTGAAGTCCAGGGCCATTTTCAATGTTCTGCCTTCCCCTCACAGGCCACCCCTACCATTCAGTCCTAATCGAGCTCAAGCCTGAACTCTCAGGGAACACTCGCAATTTTAACTTATGGGTTTACCATCTAATCAAAGGCAGAGGCGTGTGAGCATAAATACGATGTTGCAATGGTGGAGGTATGCACAGATGCTATGAGAATTGTAGGAAGTGTTCCCTAACCTAGACAGTTGGCTGCATTTCCATCACTAATAGACTGTTAATTAACCTTCAGTGCTGCTTAGTTCATATCTGTGATGAAAGACATCTCCTGCCTTCAGTTCCGGGAGTTCCCTCCACATCAAAACTGTCCTTAGTAGTTAGAATGTAGAGGAGATATTTAATTCTAAAGTCCCACTAGATCTGGTCATATGAACCTTTACCAAAAGAATGGGGAAAGCAGCTACATTATCTTACATCTAATTCTGCATACATATTATATTCTAGAGGGTGATGAAATTGAAGGGTCTAGCAAGACTTAGTAGAGACAGAACCCAGGACTCCCTCAGGCAGGAGGGACACTATAAAATAGTAATCGTAATAAAAACCATTTCGGTTATTCTCATCTGAACTACTTCAAGGAAAAAATGCGCAATGGAATTTGAAATAAATATAGCAGAGAAAAACTTTTTTCTAGAAGCCATATGATTTTCCCATTTTTCCTTCCTCAGTATTTCTCAAAGGATATCAGAATCCACTTAAAGTGCACATTGAAAGCAGAACTGCATGTGCTTCATTCTAGAACCCCTAAGTCAAACTCTTTCGGGATAACACCCAAGAAAACTCCATTGTAAAGACACCTAGTAGGAGTTTGGTAGACACAGTTAACTTTGAGAACACTGGCTTAAATCAGTGGTCTCCAAACTTTAAGCACAGGTTATTGGAATATTTTCATCAAATTCAAGTGTCCTCTGAATCCCATCAGGCAAATCACAGAAAAATGAGATTTCTAAGGTTAAAAAGGGGTGAAGGTCCTTTGTTCATTCACTAATGCTGGCCCAACCATTGTGACCTTGAAAAGACTACACAAATCTGTACTTCAATCCCTGCTTGGAAAAAAATACTATAAATCCATAGCATTTTGGAAGATTAGGTTTCGGTATTGATGATTTTCCTGGTTCCTCCTCAAACTATGCCATTGAGCGCACACTGACTCATAGTGACCTTATAAAAACACCAGAGAACCGCCCCTGTGAGTTTCCGAGACTGTAACTCTTTACAGGAGTAGAAAGCCCCATCTTGATTCCTTAGGGGACATTTATGTAGTAATTAAAAGCAAAACTCTGATAAGACAATATAGTGGAATCAAAAGACATTTTCATTCTGCTACTTACAACATGAGTTTGGCAGGTTTATAACCTCTTGTTGCCTCAATTTTCTCCTTGTAAAATAGTTATAGGGCTTATTTTAAGATATCATTTGAGATTTAAATCATTTACTGTAAATTGCTGAGATTACTGACTTGCACAAAGTGCTTACTTTTCCAGTACTCACTACTACTTTTATCTGAAATAAATCACCAATCTCCTCTAGGCATTACCATTATTTGTGCATCCCAGTAAAGGTGCCCCCATTTCCTGATCAAGAAAAGTAGTACTGAGAAGATAAATACGTCTTGTTCCAGCAGCTCTCTGAAAACATTATCTGTTTAAGCACTTGGGTGTCCTCCTTAGGTGAATCTGTAACCTGGCACTTTCTTAAACTAATGCACATACAGGCACCATAGCAATCTCTCTCCTGAGTATGTACCCTAACGAAAGCAAGAACACAATTCTAACAGAAGACATATGCACCCCTATCGCTATTGCAGCCATTTCCATAATAGCAAAAATGTGGAAACAACCCAAAACCTCAGTTATAGAAGACTGGATAAATAAGCGCTGGTACATAGGAACATTATTCATCAACCAAAACCAACAGCATCTCTCTTAAACACTGTAAGATGTGGACAAAGTTATTGAACATTATACTCAGCAAACTCGGTCAATCTTACCAAGATAAATATTTAGTAACACCATTGTTATAGGGAAAAACAAAGAAGAAGAAACTTGGTTTATACACCAATAGACAAGACTTTAATGACTACTAGGAGGCCAGGGGTAGGGGCAGGAAGAGGGAGTTTAGAGGGAGGGGTTGCTAAGTAAGGAAGGATGGGGGACAGGTGGGTAAAAAAAAAAAACACATTCATGGAGGGTTTAGTGAAAGATTGTTGATTTCATTTCTCTCTTTTTTTTAAGATGAGCTGTGTATGTATCTGTGTATAGAATGTTTATAGAACATTTCTTTAAAAACAAAGCAAAAATCCCTCCAGATTCCTTATCCCTTGAACCTAAATAGTGGTCTCAGTGGCTTAAAAAAAAAAAAGGAGGAGGAGGAGGAAAAGTAAAAATGAAATAGACTTGAAGACAAACAAGATCATCTCAAAATTAAATAAATAGATAGAGAGTTAAACAAATAAATAAATAAAATCTGTAATCTATAGAAAATGTGTGCACTAGGTTTGTAGTACTTGAAGCATGGCCTTTCTTGCCCCCAAGAGACAAAGGGTCCAAAAGTACCTTGTGATCTATGTTACTGTTGCTAGTTACTGTCCAGTCATCCTGTCTGGGGATGACCCCACATCAACAGAGTTAAGCTAGTGCATGGGGTTTTCAGAGCTTGGGGCAGACTGACCAGAAAGCATGGTATGCACCAGTGTGCAGAAAGCAAGGTAGCACAGGCTTAAGTGTGCTTTTTTACCCTTCTGTAGTGTAAAATGTCACGTGACATGTGATGACAACAGGTGAATTTAGGCACTACAAAATAATAAATAAGCATAACTAAGCCCATGCATACCTGTTTACTGGGTCATCAATCCCTGTCAAGGCTGCGATCTTTGGGAAACCAGCTTCCAGACCTATCTACCCAGGACAGTCTGGTTAGGTTTGAGCCACCAACCTTGTTCTTCACATTCAGGTGCTTATCCATTTGCATTATCCACAGGGGGAAATTCCTAATGATCACTGTGTCACATTTCCGTCACTGAAAAATCCTTGTAATAACACTCTAGCATACAGTAATTTCTCAATAAACCTTTGCTAAATCCAATATAATCTTATCCTCTATTTTAATCCTTCCTTTTACACTGGGAGTACCTGAGCCACATTAGATTCTTATCTTTCCTTCCTTCTAAAAAAAGACAAGTTAAATAAAGTAAAATAAAACTCAATAAAGCAGTAGAAATAATTCAGATGAATTTAAAAGTGTTTTGTAAAAGGTCATCTGCTGTCACTAAGCATAGGTTCCTATAAGCAGAGGAGGCATATCCTTGCGTGTGTGTGTGTGTGTGTGTGTGTGTGTGTGTGTGTGCTTATTTACCCTTGACTTGGAGGTTAAGTGCAAGGAACTACAATAAATGGGATTCTTCCCAGTTTTTACTGAACCTAGAAAATAATAGCAACTGAAGCAGAAGAGAAGGTGTCTCCTGTACTTGCTTTCCACAGCTGGCAGCTGAACAGAACAGCCTGGAGTAGAGGAGAAACAATAACTATTTTCTATAGTTAAGGAAAAAAAAGGACTGTCTTCAAGACTCTTTATTGTCATGGAGCTATGTTTATAAACAGGAAAGGAAGCATTTATAACTCTTATAGAAAGTACAATGAAGCCAAAGGCAAACATCCTTCAGCTGATGTTATCCTATCAGTAGGTTATGCAGTATTTACAAGTCACAATTTTATCAGCAGTACAGCTGGTATGAGTTCCTACAAACTCCCGCAGCAGCAATACTACAATGCAAGTGGATGCTATGGATGAGATTTTTTTTCTCTGCAGGGTGGGATTGGCCCTAGATAAAAATCATTAGCATCAAGTCCATGTCGATTCGTGGGCACTCTGTGGGCTATGAAGCAGAATGGCAGCAGAGGACTGTCTTTGCTACCAGCTTTGTAGAAGGAGCCTGGTGATGCAGTGAGTTAGGAGTAGGGTTGCTAAACAGAAGGTCAGCAGTTCCAGTCCACTCGGGGCTCCTGAGGACACAGATGATGCTTTGTGCTCCTGCAAAGACAATCTTTGGAAAGCAAAGATGAAGTTCTATCCTGTCCTATAGAGTTGCTATGAGTCAGAATGATTTTGATGGCAGTGAGTGTTTGGGTTCTAGAGTCTTTTAAAGATTTTTGGTTCTAGTATCTTTCTTCCATGGCCACAGGTTGGATTTGAACCAGTAAACTTTAGTTTACTAGTCTACTGAAAACAGTGCTTTTATCAAGGTAAGAGATTGAACTTCAGCACTTTCATACCAGTTCTACATCCAAGTCGCATCAATAGTGAATAGAGTATGATTGGTTTATCTCATTGAGTTCCCAGTTAGCTTAAAAAAAAAAAAAAGCTTGGGGGAAAAAGGTGGGGGTGGGGAAGTTGCAGGAGGCAAAGGGTTCCTATAAATATGAAGAAATTGAAGATACTTTAAATATAGAAAAAGCAAAAGTCATAATAATGTCAAGATAATAATAAATAGTACTAGATTCAAAAAGTATTCAAAGAAGAAACTTTGTAATAAAGCCATGAACACTTGAAATATATTACACTACTCTGATTTCTTAATAAACCATAAGGTCCCTCTACAGAGCATTGAAATCCAAATTGTCAAGGCCAGCCCCAAACAAGCTACTCAGCTCCTGTGCTCAGTTCTTAATTGCCTGTATCCCCCCAAAATATCCCAATCGCACGTCTTGCACTTCCTGCTGTTTTAGGACTCAAGGCTTGTTTCCTGTAGATAAGTCTGGAGAGCTAGTTCTGTATCCTCAGGAAAAGAAATTGCTCATTGTGTGCTTGGGGGACTCATCTATAACAGGAAAGACTGAGATCCCCATTTGACTTTTCCTGCAATTGCTTCAGAATTACCCACAAGGCACGTAAACTTGGGAGAGAAAAAAGTCTCCCCATCTTATAAAACCAATTCATGTGATTCTGACCTTTCTACTGATTCTTATGTGAAACTTGCTCTCAACAAATTGTGTTTCTAAAGTCATTTTGTGATTTTTTTTCTGTTATAATAATAATGATGATGATGACGATTTGGGGGATGGTGATGGTGATGGCGATGCTTGTGGAGACAGTGTTGTGCCATTGTCTTCTTTTGTTCTTTTGAAAGATTTGCTCATATTGTGATCAGTTCTGTTAATTTTGCAATACAGATGAGGAGCTTGAGGGTAATGATTCAGAAAAGTTAGCTCAAGAATATAGCTATATGATTTTTTTCCCTTTCTCATCATCAATTGTGGCATTTTCCCATAAGTCCCAGATTTTGGAAAGAGAATACTGTTCAACACTCACCCTTCAAGTAGCCGGTCTCTTTTTAGCAAGTCTCAATCAAAAGAAAATTCATCATCACCTTGAACTTGCCTGCATTATTAAGTGAATGTTGTCTATGTCCTTATCTTACAATTTAGCTGACAAATGGAACATTTAACTTTTTCATTTAATATTTAACAATTTAGTTTACAAAAGGAAACATTTAACTTTTTCATGTTGGCCCTTTTCTTTCTGCATGGAAAAGGTTTAAATAATAAATACATAATTAACAGTGTAATCCTCATTTATTGTTTCATGTCGGTTATATCGTTGAGAACCTGTACTCATCATACAAAACATCTGATGATACATATACACACATAATGTAAATAAATCTGTTTATGGATATAGGCTTGTAAAGAAGGTTGTTTGCGCATGCTTGTCCTCTCCTTCCTTTAAACATGAACTGCTAAAGCCCCTTCAGACAGGAGGTTTGCTGGCAGCGTGGAGTGCCTCTGGCATTTGTTGGAGCTAGGTTCTGACCCATGGAACTAGGAATTGTAACACTTGCTGGAGAAAGCCCTGACCAGGGCCCAGTGGGAGAGGAGTCTATGAAGTTGTCCTGGTTAAGAGCTATATTCCAAGTTGTGTCTGTTGTTTCTAAGTTGATCCTGATTCGAAATTGTGTCCCATGACTTCCCTAATCAATCCCATAGTCCTAAGTATGGTCTACGGATTCTGTGTGAACATTGCAATGCATTCATGAACGCAGCAGAAGAGGACAGAGTGTCATAAGGAAGAGATTGTTTTTAGAATTGATAAGATGTGACCTTCATCTCATAGGCGTCAGCCACAGACTGTTGGTCTTAACACGGCTTCCCCGTGTGTGAAGTGAGATGAGGTTAGATGCCACCAGCAGGACATTGCTACCAATTTAGATAAACTACAGGTTATGAGAAATGTGTCATATTTACCATACCTCATTATAGCCAATAGCAAGACTACGAGGAAGCTATAAATATTTCTATTTTATGCCTCAGAAAATTAACTCAGTGAAGTAAATCTTCATCTTCTGATCCCTAATGTACATGATTTCAATTAAGTGATATATGGACAGAGAATTTGCTTGACACTGAAGAAATTTCCTAGCGAATCAACAGAGGATGAAATTGAAATAAAAATTCACAGGGGAGTTGTCTACAAAATAATTACTTATAAGTGACCTATTATTTATATAAACACAAAGGAATACTTTTATCATATTTTTCTTACTTGATGTCATCTCAACACAAGATAAATCTTTATTGAAGATATAACTTAAGAACTCTGATTTCCACTGTTGAAATGCAAAGACCCTAATTGATGATCCTTTCTAATGTTAAACCCTTAAAATCAGTTTCTTTAGACATCAGTGTCATCAGTCAGTCATTCTGATGGTGCCTTTTGCAATGATCTTGCCATGTTTGTACATAGCATCTTTGGGGGGAAGAAGTCTTGGTTCAGCCCAGATAGTCCTCTATCAAAATCTCTCTCCACTTTCCCTGAGTCTACTTGGAAGGAATTTATCCTACTGAGCTTAGTTTATGTGCTGGTGCCACAAGCTTTCCTGACAAAAGTGATTTCAATTTTACAAAATGTTAACATTTCTTCTTGAACAAGGCATGTGTGTCAAAGAAATTCTTTCCCCAAATAACCAGGGCTCCTAGAGTCCTCACAACCCCCAGTTAACCAAAGAGCAAATACTGCTGAGTGCTGTTATGTCAGAGTGGCAGTTTTTCACCAAATCACAAATCCATCTTAAAGTCATATACAGTTCACAGTATACATATTTATTATTATTACATTTTCAGTACCAGAAATGTATAGACATGGACCAAATGAAAGAAAAGAGGAACTGAAACCAAACTATTACAGGAGTACGTGAAGAGCTCCTGATGTTCTCATTCTCTTTTAATGATGCATTAAAAAAATACACACACACACCCTAAAAAACTGTCCTTGAGTTGATCCCAGCTCACAGTGACCGCATGTAAGTTGCAGGAAAATTGTGCCCCATGTTCTCAAAAGAAGACAGTAATTCTGATAGGGAGCTAAACTGAGAGGATTTCTTTTCTGGAAGAAACTCCTAGGGAAAATAGTGGAATCAAAAATAGAGATATAGGAAATCAGGATTCTAAGTCCTAGATACAGCAGAAGGGAAATGGTTCCCTTTGGAAAATGTATGAACTGAAACAAACAGAATTAGTGGTGAATTTGGTAGCTAGAGTGAAGACTAATTGCTAATGTCTCATGAGCTACATAAATGTATTCATGATGTTGCCTATTATTGGTCCAGTTGTGAAGATTTTGGTTATCTTTGCATTAGGTTGTAATGCACATTGAAGGCTGCAATTCTCAATCTTCATCAGTAAGTCTTGCTCACATACAGTGTTAAGTAAGGTGGTATCACTGCCTATCGCAGGTTGTGAATAAACCTTCTTCTGACCGTGAGGCCATATTCTTCTCCATATTGTCCAGCTTCTCATACTATTTCCTCAGCAGACAGATTGAGTAAGTATGGCAAAAGGATACAACCCTTAGGCACACTTTTCCTGATTTTAAACCATGTTTTATTCCTTCATTTTGTTGGCACAACTGCTTCTTTTTCCATGCATAGGTTCCGTGTGAGCACAATCAAGTGTTCTGGAAATCCTATTTTTTTCAACCTTATCCAGTTTGTCATGATCCATAGTGTGCTACAATCAAATGCCTTTGCATAGTCAATAAAGAACAAGTAAACACCTTCCTGGTATTCCCTGCTTTCAGCCAAGGAAGCTAAGACTTCATCTCATGTACTTTGGACATGTTATCAGGAGAGACCAGTCCTTGGAGAAGGACATCATGCTTGGTAGAGTGGAGAAAAAGTGAAAAAGAGGAAATTACTTGACCAGATGAACTGACACCGTGACCGCAATGACAGACTCAAAGATAACAACTGTTTGTTGTAGGGATGGCACAGAACTGAGTGGGGTTTAGTCCTGTTGTACAGAGTCAGCTAACTCGATGGTACCTAACAACAACAACTGCATGATATTGGGCAAAAGAAGTCATTTCACCTTTCTTTGTTTCTTTTTACTTCAGGGAGTTTCTCATTTAGTTTTCTTATATAATATACTGGATATATTTAAAAGAACATAGAAAGAAGGATATGAAATTAGATGCTGAGAAGCCAAAACAAAGAAAGAAAGGAAGAAAGCAAGCGAGCACAGCCAACATAGTAGGTTAAGTGTACAGTCTTCTGGAGTTTCTGGGAGGTATAGAAATATGGCTTTTTAAATGACTGGCAAATGTGTGTGTGTCAACTCAAACTCAGAGCCTGGTGATCCTGAACGGGAAATGTGACCACCAAGCCTACTTGTACTAGGCACAGAGATTCCCTCTCCTGCTTTTTTTCCCATTTCAAAGTGTCTCAAGAATCCTTTTCATTGGTCGCATTTGCCTTTATTGGTAGTTGCAGCTCCGCCGGATGGTTCAGGAATGCTAACGGAGCAACTCGGGCCTCACTACTGCTGCCGTCCTCTGGCACGCACACCACCTCAACTCTCTGCAGTCCTTTGAGAAAGCCTTCCCGTTGAGGATGGTCACACAGTCCCTGCTCCTGAAGATGGCAACATCTATTGCAATGTCAAACCTTCAAGAAAGGGGGGAAAGTCCATTTAGTGCCAATTTATTTCTGAAGCAAAGTATTCAGTACCCACAAATACATGAACAATCTTCTTAGGATGATAAAATTATGATTTTGGTGTCTTAATTATGTCTTATTAGTGACTCAGAATTAATTTACTGGAAAGATGGGGCCATAAAGCTCTTTCTCTTTAGCCCTCCATTTACCTGCTGTTTCTTTAAAATAGCAGGTTATTTTTAACGAAACCTAAGACACATATTCTCACATAAACTTGTCATATGTTTTTCCTGGCATTTGGAAAGTTACCTACCTTCTCTGTGACTCCATTTGCTTAATTTTTAAACTAAAAATGGTTAAATGAAATGTTTCTTTCCTCTGGGGGAATAACTGCTATATAGCATGTAAAGAGGAAAGGTGTTTGTTAAAAATGGGTTTTAAATTATAATATACTTCTTGTTTTGTAAATTACATTGCTCTGTTTGAAAAGATTCCATGCACACTTCCAAATGTCTACTTGATTTTTTTAATCATTTTATTAGGGGCTCATACAACTCTTATCAAAGTCCATGCACTCATCAACTCTGTAAAGCACATTTGTACATTCTTTTTTATTTATTTATTTTTAATCATTTTATTAGGGGCTCATACAACTCTTATCCCAATCCATACACGCATCAATTGTGTAAAGTGCATTTGTACATTCATTGTCCTCATCATTCTCAAAACATTTCCTCTCCACTTAAGCCCCCAGTATTAGGTCCTCATTTTCCCCCTCCCTCCCCTCTTCCCCCTCCCTCATGAGCCCTTGATAATTTATAAATTGGTATTTTTCTCATATCTTGCCCTGTCCGATGTCTCCCTTCACCCACTTTTCAGTTGTCCACCCCCCAGGAAGGAGGTCACATATAGTTCCTTGTAATCGGTTCTCTTAAATGTCTACTTTATAAGTGACTTGGATAAAATAATCATTATAAAAACTAGCTTTTCAAAATATTACTGTTTATATTATAACTCAATCTCATCCAAGACTCTTTTCTTGAGTTGTGTTTCAAATTTCACTGCAGAAAAAGCCAAGACATCTGAGGTCCAGTGATCTCTCTGGTATTTGACAAGCTGTATCATCTTAGAGCAGTTCAATAAAACTTGGATTTCAATGAACTCATATATAGAAAAAGCTCTTGAGTTGTCTCACAGCCTCCTCTTCACCCTGCATTTATTAAATGTCTCTCACTCAAAGGTAAACCCCACACTCCTAATTATACTCTGGGTGAACTCAGCTCCTGAGATACATAGATTTGAAAACACCAGAGAACTGTCCCTGATATCTTTGCTAGCATTAGGAATCTATCTCCTTTGTTGCTTTATAAGAATTCAAGGATACAAATATGTTACACCAACAAGTACAGTACAAAATAGATGGTTGATTCATCATGTTTACTGAACCAAATTCTTGAGCTTAGTTATTCAAACAAAATCACTCCCTATTAAATACCATCCACATAAGATATTCTGAAAACTTACAATTCAGAGGAGTAATGGTCTCCGTCCATCCACAACCAGGCCGTGCTACTGCCGTTGCGGGACAGCCCTGTCCAATAAGAGTAGAAAAACTCTGAGTAGCTCTGAGGCATGACAAACTCCTGTGGAAGGCACACAAGAAAACCTTCAGCTTCCCGATGTCAGAGCATATCTATTAAGCAATGTGGGGACACACCAACTCTTAAGAGAAGAACATGGGTCCTGCTTAAATAAATAATAACCCTCATAAGAGGAAAAGCGTGTGTGCTTAGGTCATTTAGAGAGTTATCCAAGTTAAAGCAGCTATTGTTGCTCAGGGAGCATGGGACATTAGCTAATACATTGAAACAAAGAAGTATAAAAATTAACACATACAACAAAACCCAAACTCACTGCCATGAGTAAGTTCTGAATCGTAGTGTACCTATATAAGAACTATGAATATTTACTCGATCATACAGCTTCATAATCTGCTATATCCGCATCATTTATATTTGACCATTAAATGCTAAAATTAATATTAAAAATGTAGTAGGCAGATTTACAAAAAAATGTGGAGATAATCAGGAAAATAGGAGAACATGGTAGGAAAAAGGAAAGACTAAGAAGTGTTGTAGATTGAATTTCATCCCCCTCCCCAACAAAAAATGAATTATAACTTCTAAATTAAAGCCTGTAGTTATAATCCCATTTAGAATGGACTTTCTTTGTTATGTTAATGAGGCGGTATTTGTGTAAGGATTTTTTGTGTTTGTTTTTTAACTTCTTAATTGTGAATCAGGTGAAAATTTACAAAGCAGTTCATCAATTTTACATTCACCAACTTAGGATGTGTTCTAAGTAAATCTTTTTTGAAATATAAAAGAACAGATTAAGTCAACAGGCACACAGTGAGACGGACCATGCATACCACATCCTCACCAAAGTACCCTGAAACAGAAGCTTCGAAGTACCCCCAGAAGAAACAGAAGAGTAAACTTGTTCCTAGAGCCTGTGCCTTGAATTCTGATTTCCAACTTCCTACACTGCGAGAGAATGAATTTGTTTTCTCAAAGCCACCCATTTGTACTTCTGTTATAGCAGCTCAAGGTAACTAAGATGGGAAGTAACCTTTACAGACACCCATGAAAACAAATGCCTAGAAACTGAAAAGCAGTGGATGCATTTTCGTGCAAAAGAAGAAAGAATCTGAAAGAAGGTTTATCAAACTAGGAATGATAACTTTAAAAAAATGTCTGTCATATATTGGCATTGGATACTTATAATGTTTCCTTTTCTAATATGCACAGTGCAATTCAAAGAATTATTTACTACCTTCTAGCTAGTCTTATTCTATACTCCAAGTCAAACTCACTGCCGGGGAGCCAACTCATCATGATCCTATTGGATAGGGTGGAACTATACCTGTGTGGAGACTATTAACTGTTTATTGGAGTAGAAAGCCTTGTCTTTCTCCTGTGGAGTCACTGGTGGTTTTGAACTGCTATCCTTAGGGATCACAGCTCAACTTGTAACCACGATGCCATCAGGGCTCCTCATTCTATCCTATTAGAGCTTAAATTCTAAGCATTTGATTGCAGAATCCTGGATTTTGCAGCAGAAGCCCTAACTCCATGATACTGGCATCAATTCAGCCTACAGTGAGTTCTTCTTGACCACACATCAGCAATGTAGAAACCTCTGCCATTATTGTGACTTCCATTGAGCCGACAAAGAATGAACTCTCTCTGACCATAAACCAGTGACGTAGAAAGCTCTGCCTTCAGTCAGAGTGTGACTTAATGGCAGTGTGGGTGGTGTGGCTTAGCCAGTTTTATTCTCCAGCCTACAACAAGGATCAATTGATCTGCTGCCAATCATGATCTTGTGATTTGTCCTTTGTTTTCTATCATCTATCTTTAGCCATGTGGCTATGATTCCTCTGGATGCCATTATGACTTCATGCTCATGGGTTCCCTCCTTGTCTTTGTTCTGTTTAACATTTAATTAAGGGGTCTTTATACAATATATTATAATTATGGGTCCTATTTTTTCTTTAAACCACCTGTTCATATCCTTAACTTAGTAGCTATTTGTTATTTGATCTAAATACAGAATACATTATTTATTATTTTAATGATTCATTTACAGATTCCTTTACAGATCTTTGCAACTAAACTATGAAGTTTAAAAGAAAATATACTATTTTGTATTCTTTTTTTAAAATTCCCAGTCACTCAATTAAGCGAATGACATATCTTAATTCAATTAGAGATGCTACCAGCTACTCTGCAAGTAAAAACAGGGGACTTTCTACTTCTGTAAAGTGTCACAGACTCAGAAACCACAGGGGCAGTTTTACGCTGTCCCCCAGGGTGGCAATGGGTAGGACTCAAGTCAATGGCAGTGAGTTTGGTTTTTGGAGGGAGTCCCAGAGATCTAGTGGGTTATGTGATGGGGTACTACCCAAAAGTGAGCAATTTGAATCCACAAATTGCTCTGCAGAAGAAGCTATCTGCTCTCACCACGCTGTTCAAAGTGTAAAACTTATTGGGCCACAATGAGTTGGCATTGACTCAATGTTTTTGTCTTGACTAGATTATCTTAGGTTGTACATGATTGAAAGCAAAATGTATGATTACTATAATAATTCAGCTAATTTTTTCAATTGATGGTGATGTCCCTTTTATAATAGAAGAAAGTTCTGCTTCTATATTTCTGAGACAGCAAGAATCTTGTCTAACTCTTTTAAGACCTGCCCAAATGAGAATTCCTCACACAGACAAAGCCCCAGGACCTCCTCACCAGCACTTCTTGTGTGTTTATCTTCAACATGGTAGAGTTCTCAGCAATGCAGAAATATTCACATCCCTGCCAACTCTTGCTTTCCTTGTGAAATTGATAGCATTTGTTCCCATGCCACTTCCATTTTTCTGGACAAGGGCTGCATCTGTGTCCTTGGAAAGAAACAAAATTCAGAAACAGAGTTCCTGTCTACCTGCATCTGTAGTCTTTCCTTTCTTGAAATTCAATAGTACTTGATGAACTAATAAGGAATGAATTCCCATTTTCTTTAGTATTTAACCATCTAGGCAATGCTTGCTACAAACATTAACTGAGTAGCCCCTATAGGCCAGGAATCACCATCAGTGCTGAGTACACAGTAAAAAAGAAAAGACACATTGCCCGTGTAAAAGCAGAAAGTAAACAATGGAGTAATAAATGACTGAAACTTACCTGACTTCTGCTTATGTAATTATGTACATATGATATTCAGTTGCATAAACAGCTTTTCATGTTTTTAAAGTCAATATGCATTGGATTTAATTAATAACTTACGTTTCTATTGTTTTGTTCCAAAAAACCTTCTTCAAGGAGAGTTACAGGAGTAAAAATATATGATATATGGAATGATATGATACATGTATTAAATCCCAACTAATAATAAATATGATTAAAGCACAAAAAAATTATGGATGAAGGAAGAGCTATGATGAATCTACCCAGATGTGTTTAATATTATGTTCATCTCATCCTAAATGTGATCCATGGAAGAAATAATGGAAGGGAAACTGGCTACACTCTTAGGTTATAGTATTTGGCTTTTATGTTTATAATCAAAATTGTCTGCTTTCCTTGCTGCTCATTCACTCAGACTTGAGTCTTTTACATTGTTCTCTAAAAAGAAAAAACTAAAACAAAAACAACATACACACACATGCATATATATATATAATAGACCTACATGGTATGAGTTCTTTTCTCACTCTAAACACAAATAGTAAATAGAAATAGTATGTGTAGTGGCTGAAGATGAGATGAACTGTGTGAGCAATGGTGGCAGATATAGGTGTTAAGTCCTAAAAGCTATGGTCTCAGTACCAATGTGGGTACAAGGCCTTGGAACGCTGACAGTTAGGGACATGAAGTTGAGAATCTTGTGAGCATATGATGGACTGAAAGCTCTTCCATAATTATAATATTTCCTTATTCCAACAACCATCTAGTTTCAAAATATTCACATATTAAAGCCTGAATGATAAACCAAACTGACAATAGCTTTTGAGCTACTTGAGACACTGTTTGCCCCAAAATTCAACCAGAAGGAAAAGAATGAACCTGGGTAGACTCATTGATGAGTGAAAAATAGCTTAAGACTTTGTAAAAACTCAAACCAGGAGTTGGAATACTTTCACCTAAGAGGATAACTGTAAAGAAAAAATAAAGTATAAAAAGTCCAATTAGTATAGTCACATGTTTGTATAAAGAACTCAATAAATGCTAAATTCTGTTGTGACTGATGCTATTTTTGACAACTTAGATTTTTTCAGAATAAGACTTCTAGGAGAGCAGAAATCATCATACATTTTATACTGTACGTATCAATAGGCACTTAGTAAACACTTGATGAGTAGATGAGTGAATAGGAAGATATATATACGATGGATAAGAAGGAAGTGAGAAAGGGAAGTGGTGGAATAAAAATGATAACTAGTATCTAACTAAAACATCTACAATATGTATGAAAATGTACAATTTCATTACAACATTTGCAAATATCTTTTCAATTTAGATCACATATTGCTTGTTTGAACAGCTTTTGATTTGTTTTGTTTTTATACAATTGGGTGTGAAAGTCAAAGACCATAGTTTTAGAAAAACCTAGATTACTTCCTGATGATAAGTTGTGTAGGAAAAAAAAATTTTTTAAACATTGTGAGACAGAAGATTAGAACCAGTGAGGTCAATAGTTGTATGGGAGGAAACATGGATCTACTGAAAGAAGTATTGGTAGTAGTATTCCTTATTGCATAGCCACACAATTAGGAAATGTGCTTATGATGAAAACAGATGCCTGGAAGACTAGGAGTCTTCAACTTATTTTAGAGTTCCAGAAAGATAACTAAAATATGGAGAGTTAAAAACACCTATCATTTTGCATGCATGTATGTTAAGGGTATCAAGTAGGCTGACTTGAATAGACAACTATGAATCCCCACACCCCCCAAAAAGGAGAAGCACTAATTTTAAGAGAAAACACAAACAGTCAAACAGGATTTAGATGATGCTTCTAGGATTTTTCCCGCCATTGTGCTCATTAAAGACTAGTTCAACTCTGATTTGATGTTGCAATTATTGTGGCCTTTATTAAAATACAATTTGGAGGCACCCAGTCACACTGTCCTAAATTTAAATAATACTATGTTTAAACCTCAGGCTCTGAAATCATATATTGCCTATATTGAAATATGTTCTCTAGTTCATAATAAATTTGATTTAGTCTACCTGAACCCTCTATAAGTCTTACATTTGGCAATTTGTAGTTATGAGATTGTTAACTTCTTAAGGGGAAGAATTTATGACCACGTTATGAAGTGTGAATTACTATTATATCTCTATGTACCAAGATAAATGGAGAAACATTCCATAGTTTATTTACTTGCAGTGTTATTTTAGTTCTTCTAAGTAACTTTCTTCTATTTAAAATCTATGAATTAAAAAAAAATTGATTCATGTATTAGATCCCTGGTGGTGTACTGACTATGCACTGGGTTGCAATTATCAAGACCAGCAGTTCAAAACCACCAGCTTCTCCCAGAGACAAAGACTCAGCTTTCTACTCCCACAAAGAATTACAGGCTGGGAAACTCACAGGGTCAGTTTTATCCTATTCTACAGGGACTATGCGTTGGCATTGACTCGATGGCAGTTTTTAAATTTCATATATTAAATATGTATTTAAATATACTTATATATATATTTAAATATATATAGTTCATGTTCCTTAGAGGCAAGGATAGTGAGACTTCTTCTAATACACTTTGGACATGTTGTCAGGACAGACCAGTCCCTAGAAAAGGATATCATACTTGGAAAAGTAGAGGGACAGCAAAAATGAGGAAGGCACTTGACAAGATTGACACAGTGGTTGCAACAATGGACTCAAACATAAGAATAGTTTTGAGGACAGGGGAGAATTGGGTAAGGTTTCATTCTATCATACCTAGGGTTTTGTTGAGTCAGAATTGCCTCAATAGCACCTAACAACACCGTTCACATAATGTAATTCACGCATAATTAAACCACATGATTCAGCATCTGGTTATGATCTTGAGAGATGAACACTATAGAGTTTGTGAAGCAGTAAATTTAAAAATGCATATTTCACCCAGAGGCTGGGGGATCTCCCCTGCGAACTTAAAATGGCTGGGGGGTGAGGCAACTCCTCCCTACACCCCAAGGCCCTACACGTGACTTGGGGGATGCCTGCCCATCATCTATAGTGCTTCATGCTGCTGCAGGAACATCTGCCCAACATCCACAGCTATCTCTCTGACTAGGATAATTCCACCTGCCATCAATGTTGCTCTACACCAAGGAGAGTACACCCACATGCCATCCATGGCACTTCAGTTGTAGAGGGAAACACCACATGCCACCCAAGGTGCACCAAGCACTGTGAGACATACCAGTATGGATTACTGAGAGATCAGCAAGTGAAGCACCACCCTTGTGGGCCCACAACCACCTGACCAGCTTCCTGTAAGAGGACTATCCAACTCACATTCCAAACAATAGATTGCTGGTTTCCTAGGGCAAGAGTGAAACCACAGGAAGGTACAGTAGTAATTCTAACCCCCTAGTGCAGCTACCTGCAGGTAGTTCATAGAATCACTCATACGAGTCCCCTAAGAGAGAACCCAGCACTCTTCAACTCTGGAAGATGGCACTGGGCTCCTCTAAAACAACACATAAGGAGCAACCAGCCTCAACAGCCTCAATAAAAAAGCAGGAGAAACAGAAGACAATGCCGAAGGACTCATGAACCTAATCACATGCATAGAAGAAGCAGACATTGACCTGCCACAGAAAGAAATTTTCAGAATGCTGCTTGGAGTCATGCAGGATATGAGGGAAGTAATACAGAAAAAGGATGAAATGATAGAGGAGATAGAGGCAATGCACCAAAGGGAAATACAAGACTTAAGGGATGGAAATAACAAAATCCAGTAGCAAATTGGCAGACCTTGCCAACAGACATGAGGAGGCAAAGGAATCACACCACTGACTTAGAGGTTAACCAAGCAGACCTCAGCAAATAGGAAAAGCCGTCAAATAAGACAATCAGAGAAGCTGAGGAACAATATTAGAGTAATTGGACTACCGGAACAAGACTCAACAAAGAAATCAACAGCAAAAATAGTGAAGGAATTCTTAGAGGAAAACTTCCCCAGCTTAATAAATGAAAATCAGGCAACCATTCAGGAGGCTGAAAGAACACCAGCCACACTGAATCCCAAAAAGAAGTCACCAAGACACATACTAGTTAAATTATCCAACTATGAGGAAAAGGAGAAAATCATAAAAGCAGCTAGGGAAAAAAATAGTTACTTATAAAGGTATCCAAATAAGAATATGATCCGACCTATCAGCAGACACAATGAATAAGAGGAGGGAGTGGAGTAACATACTCCAAAAAATTGAAGGAAAATATACAAACCCAAAAATACTATACCCATCCAAATCATCTATTAAGATAGACGGAGAAGTAAGAGACTTCCCAGAAAAGGAAAAATTGCAAAGAATACGTGAAAAGAAACCCAGCCTTACAAAAGATCCTTGCTGATCCAGTATGGGCAGAATATCAATACTTACCAAGAGAAAATAAGAGACCATCACATAGAGCAACTGAAACAAGTGGATGGCAAAGAGAAAACAGCCCTCAAGATAGCATTAGCTCAACAGTGGAAAGAAGACAAGAATGAACCCCCCCACACACACACACACACACACACAACACAAACTGATACAATAGGTAGGTAGGAAAACATCCAACACAACAGGTACAAGATGACATCACAGAGTCCACAGATGGATGTAATAACACTGAATATCAATGGACTAAACTCAGGCATTAAAAGGCAGAGGCTAACAGACTGGCTCAGAAAACATAACC